CGGTGTATAGATAATGGATGGATGGATGGATTATCTTGGTCACCATGGTTACAAGCCCACCTTATCTAATACATGGTTGGCTAGCTAAACAGGGGCAACAGTGAAGCAATAAAATCGGTGACAAAGATATGCTGAAGTGAAATGTAGTTGTAATACACCACAGGTATAATCTGAGAGAAGATGTTCCCTTAAATGTTGTTTAGTTGTATAGAAGTGTAAGTGTTTGGAGACAGTGCTGGAATATCCATAGGAGTCATCCTCTGGGGACCAGGAACGTCCATATAAGATGTAGTCGTCTCACTAATCAGCCCACCGTGTGGAACATAAAGGTGTGGCTGCACCTCACTATCATTCTGCTATAAAGGTAAAAAAAAAAAAAGAAGCGCTGGCTTGTTTGTATTTCTTTAAACCAATTAGCGATAACTTGAGCGCCGCTAAGGGAAGGATGTGTTTCCGAAAAACAGTGACGGGTGGAATTGTTGGTACTACTGGAACATTTGCATGCACTGGACAATTCACCGCTAGCAGCAGGACGGCCCTACTGCCCGATCCAGATCCTCTGCAAAACTTGACATTTGCAGTGTGGTAGGTTTTTGCTTTGTTGTTGTTGTTTTCCATAGTAAAGTGAATTTTGAAAACTGTAACATGCAGATAGTGGAAGGGCAACACAGAGCCGCCTTATACCCCACAACAGACATCCAGTGAGTCAGGCTAGTCAATCAGATGCTTCGAAGTGGTTCTCCAACTTAGTGATACTTCAAAAAAATATATCAGCATACATTATAACATCAGTATATTATTACACTACATCAACAAATGACTAGCAAAAGCTAACTGGATGTTAACGACGCAGTTTGTTCTTCACAGGTTCAGCAGTTTTCAACCACAGATAACACTTTGATCACTGACACCCTCACAGCCCCCTGACCATTTTCACACCTTCAGACTGCTGCACTTTGCACAAACCTCTAACACAATGTCCTTTGTGCAGACACTTTTTTCCGATGCTAAGAATAATAACAGGAGGAAGTGAAGTTCAGAGCCACATACCATCTGTTCACCTGAAGTGAAGCGCTGAACCTGTTCTCTTCAGTCTTTATTGTCAGTGGGCTGCTGGTGACTCTACACGAGCAATTCTACTTTTGGAAAAGTACCTTTATTTGAATTGATGCTGTGATTAGAAACAACCATGTTGCTGGCAGAAGCGAGATGTGCGCTCATGTGTTTCGTCTTTTACATTTCAGGTATGAATCACTGTTCATTTTCTGTTTTTTCTTATAGTTCTGATTAATTAGATGTAGAACATTAAAAAAAAAATGTGTCATAGAGTAGTGGTTCTCAAACTTTCTGAGCCACGACCACTAAGATAACACCAGTTTGTGTTCGGGACCCCCCAATAACTTTGTTGTTCATGCATTCATGTGTTAAAAATGAATGTGTTATTTCCACAGATTAATCTCTGTACATTAACACGTTAACTTTCTTTTGAATGAATTGAATTTATTTCAAACAAATGAAAGGGAAAAAATATATAAAAACAAAAGAAAATAATTTTCAAAAGAGCAAAAAACAATAATATCACATAATCAAATTGTAATATGAACAAGTTTTTAAAAAGGAGTGGGAAGAAGTATACACTTTGACAATTTGACAGCCCTAATACAAATTTATTTGATAAATGTAGGCTTTATTTTTATTTTTTAGTTTTTTGACAATGATCTGGCGACCCCCTGAAATTATCTTGGGACCCCCATGGGGGTCTCGGCCCCCCAGTTTGAGAACCACTGTCATAGAGGATAATTGGGTATCTAAGAAAACAGCATGGAAACTGACTGTGCAGAAAGGATGACTTACGTGTGTTATTAGTTCACCTGTTAAAAAAGGCGCGGAAATATTCTTCATATCAGTTATTCTGTGGTTTAAACTGTTGTGTCAATAAAATGTGTAATGAGAAAAGTTTCTATTAAAGATGTTTGGGGACAAGCAGCCGGCATCTGTGCCTTAAAGGGCTCCTCGGTGGATCTGAGCTGCTCGGCTCAACATGTCAACTCAACCATGAAGTGGTACACTGCGCACGGGGATGACTATAAAATTGGTCAGCACGAGATCTCTCCAGATGGAGATCGTGTGGCGTACAACATGTCCAAAGAGAATAACTCCACTCTAACAATCAAAGACCTGCGAGAGAGTGATGAGAATATTTACTGCTGCAGCGACAATGCGATCAACCCAGTTTTCTGCTGGCACACTGGAACAAAGCTCCACCTAGCAGGTACAGTGACGGTCAGATATTTGTTTCAGTCACATCAGTACACGGACACTGACTTCACATCTTGACATCTCAGATCTGCAGGTGAAGGTGATTCCCTCCACAGAGGGACAGACAGTAACTCTGATGTGCAGCACCAGCTGTCCTCTGACTGAAAACCCTGCAGCCTACATCTGGTACAAGAACGGAGAGTTTGTCTATGAGGACTGGTCTCCCTGGTACCAAGAGCTGGTCAGCAGCGAGGAAGCCGTCAGATACTCCTGTGCTGTCAAAGGCTACGAGGACGTCAGAGCTCCTGAAGTCTCAGTGGGTGAGTGACGGCTTATCAGCCCTGGATGATGGTGACGCCTCATACATGCATCAGCTGCCTTTCTTAAGTCCTTGGATGCTGTTGTGACTCTGCATGAAGATTTATTACTGCTGATAATTAGAAAACTCATCAGTGTGAGCTGTATGCTGAGGTTGGATGACCGTCCCTCGCTGTAAGGCTTGATAGACACTGGCTTCCATTTAATGAGGGTTACTTTTATTTTAACCCCCTTGCATTACTTCATTACTGTCTTTTAAAGTGGGCCTTTACCGAACACACTAAAAGGATTGGAGGGTGCTGCAGGTGCCCGGTGTTTTGACTGAGCTTGGAAAATCCAGTTTGCGTCTCTGATCTTGAATAACCTGCAGAACAGACCAAAACGAGACTCAGTTTGGCAATTCAGGGTTTTTAATTTACTTCCAGCTACTTTTGTTTAAGTTGATTCTTTTATTTTTCAAACTTGAACGATGTTTTTGTTATTTTACTAACTTTGCCTTTTGATATTTGGGTTATTCTTTCTAAAATCATCCGGAGCCTTCTGCTCAACTTCATCAGATTTGCTAAAAATGTTTTTTTATATCATAAATTACAGATATTTAAAAATGGTATCTGCAAAGTTTTAGATTGATGTATCAAATACTTTACAAGATTTTTTATTTTTATTTGTGAATCGACCCGCTCACAAATTTAATTTGCCTTCCTTTTTTCATATTTTAACTCAACCATCATCTGAGATTTTTTATTTATTTTGAAAGATGATTTTCTTGGTCTTTTCACCCTTATTGAACAGGATAGTGGTGAGAAACAGGGAAACGTGGGGGGAGGACATGCAGCAAATGAGTTGCTGGCTGGACTTGGCCGTTGCGTCGGGGACTATAGCCCCTGTACATGGGTCACCACCTTATCTGGTTGAGCTACCAAGGCACCCCGTATGAGACTTTTTTTTGATCCACTTGTCCAATATTACAGATCCTGAATCAATGACATGATGGGAAATAACAGTGAAAAGTTCAGGCTTTTGTCTTTAGTAGTTCCTGAGATATTATTGTTGGAAGAGCCTCAAATTTAAATGTGCTGAAAGTAGATTAATTGGCAATTTAAAAAAAATAAAATCTTTTTAAAAAATTGATAGATCAAGCTTTTTTTTCACAAATGAAGAGTTCATTTGCAAAAACAGATAACTCCATTTTTGNTTTTTACCCAACCTTTTACCTTAAAGCGCACCAGACCACACATTGTAGCTCTTGCTGATATGTCACAACCTATCATGGTTGTGTTACACTATTAAAACAAAATAATGATGAAGTGTACTTACATGTGTATGTTTTTCTTGAGCTAAACTTAGAATTTAAGCCCTCAAACCTGTGCCATTCATTTATGACTGCACCCCCTCTGGCAAAAAAATCAGGTTTTTAAGTTTGTTGTCTTGTCCATGTGTTGTTTTTTAAGTACTAGAAGACACATCATGAGTAAAAAAAATAAGCGCCATAACTGAGAATTTCCACCTTAAAGCTCCAGTGGTTTGATTAAAGCCTCAAAAACACAGATTCAGACTTCCAGGGTTTCACACATAACAAACCTCAGAAACCAATCGTCTCAACTTTCAGGGTGGAACTTTCTTTTTCAGAATCAATTCCCGGCTCAAACTTTCATGCCTAACTTGCTCTAATATCACAGCTTGCCATTGTGTAGAGTGTGGGTGGAGCAGTTTTACAGAGCAGGGTCATAGGTGAGCTGGTGTGCTCAAGCTGCAGCAAGTGGGGAGGAGGGGTGAGTGGAGCGAGAAGCAGAGTTGACACAAATCTCTAAATTCTATTGGAGGCAATGGTGCAGAGTTGTATCTAAGCTATTTTAAGGCAGGAAAAAATCTCATTATGTTCATGGAAGAAAATTCAAAGTATGCAACTTTTAAACACAGAGATGAGTTTTTAGGGGTTAAATCAACAACTGCAGAAGGACTTTAAGGGCAATAACCGAGAGTCGAGGATAAATCCCTGAGGAACTCCAAATCTGACATGATGAGAGTAACTATGGTTGCATCAACAATTATTTCTACTATCAATAAATGGGTTCATTATTTCCTTGATTACTAATTTAAAATAAAACAAATAAACTATATTTACCCAAATGGGAGGTGATGTCTTTAACCCTATTGAGGACTGTCATGTTGTCATACGTAGACGGTCTTTCGAGGTTCACTGGACCCCAAGAAAGAATATGTGCAAAGTATTAGTTGGTATTCATTATAGACTTTTATATTATGTTTTTGCTTCCAAATGCATGACAAATGTCCCTCTTTTTATATTAAAAAAAATAAAAAAAAATACCTGTCACCCAAACCAAATGTCTTGGGGTCCAAAAGACCCCAAAAGTCCTGAATAGGGTTAAACGTCTTGCGATGGCAGACAATAATCCAAATACACAAAAAAAAAACATATTTAAATAGCAAGAGAAATATTTAGATATATATTTTTAACTAATCAGCTTTCTTACTATTGACAAATTGGTTGATGATGCACTTGTCTTCTTCATTTCTTTCTTCTTTAAAACTAAAGGATCAGTTGACTTGAGCCTACTGACTGTCATTAATGTGACAGAAGTTCAACGCTTTATAGTTGGACTGTTCATGATTATACTCAGATTCTTCTACATTATTTTGTATTAAAATATAACAGCTGCTATGTGCATGGTTTTACACATGTATAAGTGTGTGTGTGTGTGTTTTATTCATACAGGACCTGAGTGTGTGTGAAGGTGAACATTGCCTCTAATTCTAATCAGAAAATGTGGCAACAAACTCAACACTGAGCAGCAGTGGGTCTGTTTTTTTTTTTTAAACCAGAAAATCAGTGGACAGTTGGAGTCATGCTTGTGTTAGGATGAAGGAGATGAGGAGGATTTACCTTTTCTCAGCGTGTGGACCGTCAGTCAGCCTCCTGTGCTCCCTGTAGTCGGTCTGAGGATGCTGGAGAGCCTTCAGCGGTGGCAACCTGAGCTCACAATTCACCACAATCAAGCCTGTCCGTCCGCTGCTTCCTTCACCATCTCCGATTGAGTTGTCAGTTGTCACCGGCTGCTTCCCAAATCAAACAAACGTGTGTTTGATTAAATCAAATCCCCCGCTGGGGGTCGTTCAGGAGAAGAAAAACAAAAAGAAAAACGCCTGTTGCGAGTGGTCAGTTTTCACAATGGAAAACCTTGTCCTGGAATAGTTTTTCTGAATCAAAATCACTCTGACGTTCTGAAATTAATGTCGAGGGAAGAAGACAAATGAAAGTGAACGCCGCTCAGGTGTGAGGATCTGCGATGTGAAGGTCTGATGTGCCGCAAAAAGGTAGAAGGCTCTCCCGGAGGCGCATCGCTCAGTTGCGACGCTGGTCAACTGAGCTTCCAGCGGCGGAGAGGAGGGAAGAGGCAGTGGAGGGGGAGACAGAGGGGAGGAGGAGGGGAGACAGCCAGGGAGAGTGGGCGAGGGACAGACAGAGAGAGAGAGAGAGAGAGAGAGAGAGAGAGAGAGAGGGAGAGAGAGAGGGAGAGATGCCAGAATCCAGATCCAGCCTCCTCCTCCAGCTGTTCTCTCTGCTCTCACAGACTTTTACTGCTGCCATCCTCTACTTTGCCATAAATTGTAAACGCAAATCCACAGACTGCACATTATGAC